GTAAAATAACTTCTGAAATTTGAGACTTAGGGTTGGGCTAGGGTTAGAAATAAGGTTAGGGTTAGGAATAAGGTTAGGGTTAGGGTGTGAAAACCAAAAGGTATTTGTGCAATTTTAGTGAATAGTATGGTACACATAGCCAAATGAGTATTACCAGGAATTGCCTCCAGGTAGCTGGTTGCATAAACAACTATTACCAGAATATGCTGGTTACCTGCTACAGTTTTCTCTTGAGGACCAACTTTCAAACTGCATTTCTACTAATAATATGGGTATGAGGGGCCCTTTGACTTGCCCCTTTGGAGCCACTAACATTCTGATCATGATTTGTAGTAATTTTCTATATAAGATACAGAATGCATACTACACCCTGTTCCAAATTATTATGCAAATTATATTTTTCTCATTTACCTAAATAATTGATGTCAGTAACAGTCAGCATAATTCTCATGTCATCAACTATTAAGAATACAATCCAAATTTTATTGAACAAACCTAATGATAACAGTATTTTTTTAAAACATAAAAAACTTACAATGCACTGTTCCAAATTATTACGCACAGTAAGTTTCAAAACACTTTATAGGTTGTAAAGAACTGAAAATTGTCATTTGTTGTGTTTGCAGCATATTTGCTGAAATCAGAAGCTATTTCAATCAAACTTATAACAACATTTTAACTTTTTAAACATTTTAACAGGTCACATTACATTTTAACATAGGACCCCTTATTTGATAGCAGCTTCATAAATCTTGCATCCAATGAACTTGTGAGTTTCTGGACAGTTTCTGCTTGAATTTGTTTGCAAGATATCAGAATAGCCTCCCAGAGATCTCGAGGATGCTCCAAAGGTTCTCAATAGGATTGAGGTCAGGGGAGGATGGAGGCCACACCATGACTTTATCTCCTTTTATCCCCATTGCAGCTATTGATGCAGAGATATTATTTGCAGCATGAGATGGGTCATTGTCATGCATGGAGATGATTTTATTACGGAAAGCATAGTTCTTCCTTCTGTACCAGGGAAGAAAGTGGTCATTCAGAAACTCCACATACTTTGCAGAGGTCATCTTTACATCTTCGGGGACCCTAAAGGGGCCGACCAGCTCTCTTCCCATGACTCTGGCCCAAAACATGACTCCACCACAGCCTTGCTGACGTCCACCAACCATCCACTACTCCATCCATCTGGACCATCCAGGGTTGCACGGCACTTATCAGTGAATAGGACTGTTTGAAAATTAGTCTTCATGTATTTTTCTGCCCAATGCAGCCGTTTCTGCTTGTGAGCATTGGTTAGTGGTGGCCGAATAGAAGGTTTATGCACAGTTGCAAGACTCTGGAGGACTCTACACCTTGCTGTCCGTGGGACTCCAGAGGCACCAGCAGCTTCAAATATCTGCTGCTATGTAATGGTATTTTAGCAGCTGCTCTCCTGATCCGATGCATGGATCTGGCAGAAATCTTCCTCAATGTGCCTTTATCTGCACAAACCCGTCTGTGCTCTTAATCAGCCACAAATCTCTTAATAGTGCGATGATCACGCTTAAGTTTTCATGAAATATCTAATGTTTTCATACCTCGTCCAAGGCATTGAACTATTTCACTCTTTTCGGCAGCAGAGAGATCCTTTTTCTTCCCTATATTGCATGAAAATGGTGCTCTGCTTAATAATGTGGAACACCCATGTAGCGGAGCTGCAATATTAAATCCCAATATCTCGGCTGGTAAAATAAAGTAATCCAAGAAAAGCGCTGAATGAAGGCAATATCCCAAATCCCCCAGTAACCGGATGAAACATAGTTCTGGGAGTCAACTGAGGACTTTATTGAAACAGCACCAAATGTATGTGATTTTCACTGTACAGGGTTTCCAGACTGGGACAGCAGAGGTTTTAATCAGATGGACTGTGTGGGAAACTGACCATGCAGGGTCATTTCCCAGCATCACCTGCTGTCCAGGGACAAAGATGACATCAGCAGGCATGTATAATTACATTAACAGTGGTTAAGGTAAAATCTGGTATTTTACATTAAAATGTATAACTTCGGTAATTTCCAACAGATTTATTAGATTGAAAGGATCTGAATCTACAATCTCACGAAGTACCGCTCAGATCCCTGCAAAAATAGGCGAACGCCACACAGAAAACAATTTTTAGTGAACCTGGTCTAGACATGGAAAACTCACGAACGGTTTTAATTGACCGAAAGAGCGAAGTTCCCGAACGCTATGGAAGTCCAGCGGTGTTTGGAAATAGAGTAGCCGATCTGAGTTCCAGACGCTCGACGACCAAACACCGCTGAACTCTTAGCGAACAAAGATGGCCGCTGCCACGTGTTCGGTACACGAACGGCGGCCACACACACTAAATCAATTAAACGCTTGCAACAATGTTGCAACTGGGCTAATGGGAGACACACAACCTCACCGGGGTGGTCTCCCGTTAGGTAGTTTCCCGAACAGGATTGCAGAACACTGTTCGGGAAACGAATGCTGGATCCCCATAGACGAACCATAGGGAATACGGCCATTTTAAAGTCCCGAACACAATTTATGATAAGAAAGTCTTTTCAGTCTCCAAGTGGCTGTGTTTGCCACACACATACAAATATTACAGCCATTCCATACACATACAAAGGACTAAAGTGGCGGTTCTGCCACAACCCTCCTTTAGTAGTTTTTCCTTAAATTGGGCTCATCTGACAATCTAATTATCACAGGTGTCAGAGATTGTTTTCAGTGATCAAAAGAGCCCTGAGACACCATGTCATCCATGAGTTAAACTGAAAAACAAAATATTTAATCTTTGTGACACAGAATTTGCAGAATAATTTGGAACAGGGTGTATAACAATCACAATTGCCAATATAAATCTTTATTAAGTATACAAATAACAAGCAATACAAAAAGAAACAAAGTAACAGAATAACGCAGGGAGGGAGGAGGGGGACCATGAGGGTGGGGGACCCAAAAACCCTAAACTGCCAGGAAAACGAGTTTGTTTTCCTGGCACTATAGTGGTCCTTTAAAGGGTGTACTCACTTTTGTTGCCAACGATTTAGACACCAAATCACTTAATTAAGCTAAAGTTGTTTAGGTGCCTATTGTGCCGCAAAGTCCTGTACCAGATGTATTAACCCACAAGTGCTAAGCTATGAGTAGCTAATTGTGGAAATAAGCAAACCTCTTTTCTTTTAAGAGAATTGAAGAAATGCTGCTTTCTGTTTCCTTTATTAAAAAAAAGGATTCAAAATCTCTGTCTGGAAATTATAGAAATGTGAGCATAACTTCCGTGGCTGAGAAAGTATTTGAACGCTTATTGAGGGATAACATTCAGGAATTCATTGAGAACAATATCATTAGCAGAATTAAGCATGGTTTTATGAAACATAGATCATGACAAAGAAATAGGTCTAGATAAAAATTTGTGTTTTGGGTTAGAACACTGGCTTAAATACAGAGTACAGAGAGTTTTCATTAATGGTAAATTTTCAAGCTAGTCAAAAGTGTTAAGTGGTGTCCCTTGGGGTTCTGTTCTGGGAGCACTTTTATTCAACCTATTTATTAATGATCTTGAAACAGGCATTGAAAGTCTTTTATATACACACACAAAGAGGGAACGGGCTGGTATCTAAATGAAATATACAAAAATAATATAGTGTAATACTGTTATGAAATAACAATCTGCTCAAATTATAATGCACTCACAAAATCAGGCATGTAAGGTGCCTCCCCTGATGGTGTGGGGGCTAAGGAAACTTCCCCTGGAGCGATCTGACGGAGGCTGTAACCATTTACTACTGATAAGTATCCTAACATACTATTTGTATCTGTATAGGGTGCAAGTGTTTTTCTGTATTGAAAGTCTTGTGTCACTAGGTAGAGTAATATAGCATGAACATGATATTAGTTTGCTGCAGAGTGTTTAGGTTATGGGACGGCGCACACATATGGCAGATTAAATATAATGTAGATAAATGAAAAACTATGTAATTCAGGGTGAAGCAAGCAACTAACATCTAAGTTAGGAAAAACAACACATAAGGGTTTGGGAATTGTTATAGACAACAAACTAGGTAACAATGTTCAATACCAATCCGCAGTTCCTAAAGACAGTATTTATTTTTTAGGTATTATCATGCATATAAAAGGGCATTATTTTGTTGGCTGACAATATAAGTTTGCCTCTTTATAAATCACTGGGGTTGAACATATGGCTGGAAGGATTATTTTCTCATTAATGTGAGAAGATTATGTGACTTTAGATCTGAATTCTGGGACAGTCCTCAGGATGACTCTGTTATGCTGGAGGATTGTAAAGGGACCTAAACTTGAGAGGGAGTTTGAAGTTCTGACACTCTGATGCTTGAGGCCAGTGCTATCAAGAGGACCATCTTTATAGTAAGTAGATGAGGAGAAATGGATTCCAAGGGTTCATACATGCTTCGTCAGAGGGTGTATTTTTAGAACTGCAGTTAAGAATCTTGCAATATCTGCATGCCCATTTAACAATGGTTAGTGCAGACAGGACTGAAATGTGTACCTTTAAGGTAGTATAGCTCAGTCCCTTGTAAAGGCCAGCTTGAAAAAAGTCCAAAATGTATTTGGTGCATGGGTTGAGCCCAGGTAAAAAGGCATCCCATACCTTATATTTGTTAGATGAAGTAGAGCGTTTTCTGGATTGCATCATTGTGTTCACATTGTTGGTTAAACTCTTCCTTTCAGCCTCCATGCCCTCGAATATAGGGATAATGGGTTCAGATGAAACACAGGCCCTTGATGTAGAAGGGAAGGAATCTGATGGAGTTTCCAGACACAGACTATGTAGCAGGGGAAACCAAAATCTACGAGGCCAGAAGGGTTACTAGGAGAAAGGCATAACACAGAGTGACGTCCCATTTGCTGGATGGAGCATCTGTTCTGCTGGCTTGAGGGTCGAAGCTCCTGAAGAAAAATCTTAGAACTTTATTTTTCCTGGGGTTGACCATAAGGTCTGTTTGCTTGATAGAGCCCATTCTCTCTTGTCTATCTTCTACCTTCTCAGATAATCTGTCACCATGTTGTCTTGATGCGGTAGATTAACAGCCACTAGTCCTTGAAGATTCTTTTGGACCCAAGACATCATGGGTTTTAGGATGCTTATCAAATGATGGCTCCTGGTCCCTCCTTGATGATTAAGTAGGCTATTACTGTCACATTGTCGACTCTTACTTTCACCCACTTCTGAAATAGGGAACGTTTAAATGACTTTGAAAACTGCAAGAAGTTATAGGACATTCAGTGGAAAGTCTGAGACTAAAGCTCTCCATTCTCCTTTGGCTATCTGATCTTTAAGACAGGCTCCCCATCCCCAGTAGCTGGTGTTTGTAGTCAAGATGATCCATGAAGCTTCTCCTAGTGAGAGCTCCTTGTATGTGTTTTTGTCTCTTGGTTACTATAGCAGGAAATAATGAGAGAAATTCAGATGGGCTGGAGAAGGTTGCCTGTGTTGAACTTTCTCAGAAAATGTTCTTGCAATGGTCTCATCTACCACTGGTCCCATCTTGTCAGTCCGATTGTTGAGGATATAGATTCTAACAAGCTTATGATGTTTTGTGCTGGAGTTACACTGACAGGCAATATATCTTTGATCTTTGATTGAAGGTGCCTTTCCCTGTCCTGTGAAAGTTGTACTTCCCCTTGGAGGGAATTGAAGAAGGCGCCCAAATAGATCATTCTCTGTGCAGGAACAAGCTGCTATGTTTATCTTCCAGCCGTGTTTTAACAATGCAATAATATAAGGATAAAGTAAAACCCCTCCAGACCTAACCATCAAAACTATATGTACAATAACTCCCACCCCCACAACAATGTATCATACCAACCACCTCCCAAATACCGCAATTATGCTACACGAAGACCCCATCACCAATCCCCATCCAAACCAAGACCCCAATATATGTCCTCTCACCAAAACCACGTCCCTCCCAAATCACCATACCAAAATAAGAGGAGTACATACCAACTACCCTCGTACAAACAAAGGAAATTTCCTCACGATAACTACAATTCTATACCCCAATCACCCAGATATCAAAATTCCTCTGGTTTTAATTTTTCACCTAAACCACAAAGATCCAGGTACACTAACGATCATAATGAGTATTCAAATTACTCAAAATCACCTACAATTCCAAATCATACTAACAGATACCAACTATTATCAGTCGACTCTGACTTTGATAATGAGGATCATTTTTTAGAAATACGCACTCACCAACCCGCACTAGCCCAGACACCATACCCATTACGCTCTCAAAAAAGAACTTTACATTTAGAGGAAGACGAAGTGGAAGAAGGGAACAAAAGAGAAAGATTGGAAAGACAATAATACCTTCCACTAATTCTTGCAATGGCATTTTTAACCTCTCTCAAAAAGTTTTATCAGCTGCACAATTATCTGTTTTAAGTAAGGGTCTCAAATTTGCCCCCACTTCCTCTTTTAATTCTTTTCAAGCTTTTATTGATGTAAATAAATTTGTTAGGAAGGCTACACTGAAAAGATTTTTTATAAGTAAAAATGACGAAGAACCTGCCCCTCCTATTTTTCCTCTTCCCTCAGAAACAGGAAATAGTCCTTTTCTGAATACACACCTGAGAGAAAAATCCAAATTTTACCCATCCCATTTTAAATCAGCTCCTTTGATTTTATTTGAGAAACTTGTTCTTAAAGACTTAGAGAAAATCAAATACAAAAAATATGACCCCAATAACCTCACGAATAGTGAAAGACAGGCAATCAAAGAATTACAAAAAGATCGAGACATTGTCATCAAACCAGCTGATAAGGGGGGAGGAGTAGTCATTTAATCTAGTATAATGTATGTAGATGAAGCCCATAGACAATTAAAAGATGGTAATGTATACGAACAACTTCTAACCGATCCGATCAAAAATATTCAAACCATTTTATCTAATTTTTTAAATAAGGGTCTAGATCAAAAAATTCTAAACAAACATGAATATAATTTTTTAAACAAACAACATCCAATTACCCCTGTTATTTATTTTCTTCCTAAAATTCATAAAAATGAGCAACACCCCCCATTAAGACCCATTGTTTCAGGGATAGGCTCACTTTTAAGTAACCTTTCCCAATATATAGATACCCTTCTCCAACCTTCGGTCAAACTTATGAAATCATACTTAAAATTTAAAATTTTTAAATGATTTTACCTGGAAAAATAATTTTATATTAGTCACATGTGATGTCCAGTCCCTTTACACCATTATCCCCCATGATATTGGTTGTAACGCTATAAAAGAAATTTTAACCCAAGAAGCTAGGATTCCCGACACTCAAATAGATTTTATAATAGAAGGTATCAACATTATTTTAAATAACAATTATTTCTGGTTTTTAGATTCTTTTTATTTACAAAGAAGAGGCACCGCTATGGGGACTAGGTTTGCCCCCAGTTACGCTAACCTGTTTATGGCTGACTGGGAAAATGAAGCCATATGGGGCAATCATACCTGGCGGGCAAACCTAGTCTCCTATTTTAGATATATAGATGACCTTTTTTTTATCTGGAATGGACCTGAAAAACATCTTATTGATTTTATCAATCATTTAAATACTAATAATAGGGGCATTATCCTCACATACGAATTCAGTAAACAATCCATTAACTTTTTAGACTTGAATATTTTTATCAACAACGGACAACTCCAAACAAAAACTTTTTTTTAAAAAGTATGTGTAAACACGGCCATAGACAGATCTAGTTGTCATTATAAGCCATGGCTAGAAAGTGCCCCAAAAAGTCAGTTTTTACGCCTTCGTAGAAATTGCTCAGAACTCACAGATTTTAATGAACAAGCAGAGTTTTTAAAAAACAAATTTATTGAAAAAAATTATTCAGAACCAGATCTGAATACCACAATTAATACAGTCAAACAAAAAGAACGAAAAGAACTTTTGATATATAAAAATAAAGAAAATAATGAAACTGTATCACTTCCAGTTATTTTTAATTTTAATAACAAAAGCAACGATGTCAAAAAAATAATAAGAAAACATTGGCACATACTCAAACATGATGAGATACTTAATTCCATTATACCTACTCATCCAAACATTGTTTTTAGAGGAGCACCTAATTTTAAATCTATTTTAACTAGAAATTTTACAAAAAAATCTCCTTTAAAAAATGTATCATTCTTTCCTCAGACAAAAGGTTTTTTTAGATGCAAACAATGCATCGTATGTAAAACTGTGGATCATGTTATTCCATCAAAAACTACAAAATTTATGTCAAATCAAACTAAAAAAGTGTATGATATTTATGATTTTATAAGCTGCCATACCAAAAATTTTATTTATCTGCTCGAGTGCCCATGTGGCCTCCAATATGTGGGGATGACCACAAGGTGCCTAAAGATAAGACTGAGCGAACATTGCAGAAATATTAGAAATGGATACCTAAATCATACAGTATCCAAACATTTTATCAAGCACAATAAAGATCCTCGTTTATTAAAATGTATTGGTATAAAAAAATGTTCTACCTCCTGGCGAGGAGGTGATATAAAAAAGTTACTTGGAAAAATAGAGATGGAATGGGTGTATAAACTTCAGACCCTTATACCCCATGGCCTTAATGCAGATTTTGATTTATACAATTTTTTATAACTTTTTAAGATATTTTATGTTACCTAATGCCTGTACCTTTAAATGCACAATTTTATTTTATCTATTTATTTTTTAGAACTTTTATGTTATTTGAAGTCTGTAATTCATTTATAACACCTTCCATCAAATCTGCACCTCTAATTAGGATTGCTCTCTCTCTCTTTCCAATATAAGGATAATCTGTTGTAATTTATGTTTTTAATATTATTTAGCTCCTCTTCCAACTAATGTATAAAGTATCACATTTGCCACCTTTTCAAACTAATGTAAAAAGCAATTGCCAAGCTTTTGCCCTATCTTACTATCCATATTTGGTGTTTCCTATCATTAACATATATGCTGCAACCCAAACTACATTTCCCATGAGGCATTTCGGCTACTAATGCTGAAAACCACGTGACCTCTTTTTAACTGCCTTTTTTAAACCCTCAGCCCCTTCGTTTTGGTATTTTATTCCTTGCTGCCACATTATATCAATCTGGTAATTCAAATATTTCAGTTTATCTGACTTTTATATTGGCCGCCGATCGCAACTACATTTCCCATGTGCCTTTGCGGCGGAACCTCCGAAAAACGGAAGTGCCGCCGGTCATGTGATTTTTTAAAAATACCCAAAACTATACTTTCTTACCCTCGTTTTTAAACTAAATATATTTTAAATAAGTTGTACCTTTATAAACTATGTGTAGAATGAGTTTATTTTGTATTTTAAAGTTGTACAAACGTTTTTAATTCTGATTGGATGAACCAAGTTTTGGCGCCAAAATTCAATTAATCATGCTCTTATATAACATTCATGTGCCAGGTAAAACATGTTATCCCATTTGATAAAGTCCTTGTGTGACGAAACGCGTTATGGATATTTGAATATTGTGTTTTTTATATATATTAAAGTATTTTTGGTCATTTGCTTGTGCCAATTATCTTTTTTATAGACACATATTTTTCTTTTTTACCCTGGCCTTTTTACTGTTAATTTTATTATTTTTACTGGTTTTAAAACAAACCTAAAAATTCCTGGAAGTTTCCTGTACCCAAAGAAATCCATAGGTGGGGATCAATCCACCCAAGCTATCATCAAAGAGCAGTGGGTCTGCTCTTATTTTGTAAGTACATTTCTTTTATTATTTTATTATTATTTGCCATACAGTGAGCACTATTGGCTGTTTGTTTTATCCCGAGAATTGGATACCATTCACGGAGAAGAACCTGCTTTTATCCCACAAGCGGGGATTAAACCGCTGTACGCGCTTTACTCCAGAGCTGGACATTAGCTCTGGTAAATGTGAGTTTTATACTATTATTTTTACGTCTATACCTGAATTTTACATACTACACCATTGGATGTCCCTTCTCCCTCTTTTTATTTTTCATAACGAGTGAAGCCACCACATAAATAGAAGACCCCATCAACCAAAGACACCTGTAAGAATATACCAGTTGGACTTTCTCTCTCTTTTTTTCCCTTTTATTGGACTTTATTCATGTGCGCAGCCTTTTATTGTTTTTACTTTATCCTGTTTTAGAAAGGGTTTGAGGGATTCCCTTTTTAAGGTTGCTGCCATAAGTTATTTTAGCGCTGTCTCATTCCTCCTACTTACTAATAATATAAGGATGACTATTACATAGAAAAGTTTCTCTTTTAACTGTGAGTATAAGAATGTTGACTATATAGTTATAAATTGCAATGCTCTTTTTCATATCTCTGCAATAAGACTTACAATGACTTTGGTGAACGTTTGAGGGGCAGTGCTCAATCCAAATGGATGGGCTCCAAACTGAAAGTGTTCTTCAATTCTTGCAAATCTTGGAAATGTTTGATGTTGCACTGCAATAGGGACATGAACATATGCTTCTTGTAAGTCGATGGACATCATCAATTTGCCTGGAAAGATAACATTTAAGATTGATTGGAGAGATTCCATCTTGAATGTTCTGATTTTTAAATATTTGTTCAGAATGTGCAGATGTAGAATTGGTCTCCACCCTCCTGGTGCCTTTCTGGTTAGACATAAGTGAGAATGGAAACCATACGTTTTTTCTTAATGGCCTTTATTATAACTTTTTCTGCTTGAAGACTTGTAATTGAGTTTTTGAGAGTCTCTCTTCTCTCTTTGTTTCCCAGCCACCTTGTGATCTGGAAACTGCAACCTGCAAGAGAGTTGTCGAACTCCAGAAAAAAATCATTTTGCCAAGATGTTTAAAACCCATTTGTCTTGGATAGAATGCTTCCAGACTTGGGATAATAGAAGCAGACAAGCCCCAACTCCTCCTTACTGGGGATGCAAGCCATCATAATGATCTGGAGTTCTTAGTTAGTGCTGACCATTCTGTACATCTTCTGTCTCTGAAGTTCTTCTAGATCTGAGATCCTGAGGTAGGAATGCCTTCCTTCTTTCTGCTGCTCTTTTAATGCAATCATCAAGTTATTTGAAAATGCATCAGTCGTCCAGTTTCTGAACCGGATTGCTAGTCTGCCGAAGACTGAGAGGGCTGATATTTATGGCTTTGACCATAACAGAGGATTCAGAGGTAAAGTCTGCAGCTAGTTTGATATCTTATAGAGCTTCAATGATGAATGCTCTGCTTCTGCCATCTTTTTTTTTTTGTGTAATATTTTTTATTGAGTTTAGAATAGTGGTAACAGATGCACACAGTTGTACAGTTGCAGAATAACATTTACATTTCGCTTTATACATCTTTAGGAAGTGTTTCATACTTCGTCCAGTGTTTGGGAACCCCAACAGCTTGTTGGGGAGGCCAGTCACAGCATCTCAGTGCTATAGCGTTTTAACGTTGTGGCCTGCGCCTGTACCAGTGTTATTTGACAACTAACCTAGTCTTGCGACTAGGTATCACCCTATTATTGTAGGGGGGGGGAAGAGGAGGGATGGAGGGGAAGGTCGGTTTGGAACGTCTGGAAGTGTTTCCAAGTGTTAGCTGGTGCCATGACTACCATCCTGTGTGGCATTTTGTCGCCATGCTGTCCATGTCTGCCACGCTGTTTGCCAGGCTTTGTTTGTCGGCCTTAGTCGCCTAGCTTCTATCTCATACCCTTGGGTAGTGTCTATCATATCTAGGCATCGTTGAGTGCTGGGTGGGTGTGTGCTCAACCAAGTCTTGCTTATAGCCATTAGTGCTGTGATAATAATGTGGTATGTTAGGTACATATCAGCTTTTGAGAGCTTATGTGGCAGGGCTAGCAGTAGATATGTTTCTGGGGAGTGTGGCAGAGTATTGCCAGTGGATTTGGTTATGATATTCGAGACGCTTTCCCAAAAGGGCCTAATTCCTGGGCAGGTCCACCATATGTGGAGCATTGACCCCGGTTCCTGTAAGCATCTCCAGCATGTCCCTGACTTACTTGGGTCCATTTTGCTCAGCCTGGTGGGTACCATGTACCAGCGATATAACACTTTCCTGCTAGTCTCAATATGGGATGTATTTAGCGTGAGATTTTTGTGTGCTAACAATATTTTTGACCATACCTCATTGGGTATAGTTAGATTTAGGTCTTTTTCCCATGCCGTCATGAAGCTTAATTTCTGTGGTTGGTCTTGTTTTTTGGTCAGTTTATACAGTAGTGACAGCATTTTCTGTGGCGGTTTGGGGGCCATACATACTTTTTCTATCTCTGTCAGTGTCTGTGGTTGTGTTTGTGCAGCTTCTAGACCTATATTCTTCCTCGCCCATGATTGCAATTGTAAGTATGAGAAATAGGCTTTGGGAGGTAGGTTGTACTGGTTGGTTAGAGTGCTAATGTCTATTAGGCGACCGTCCCTCATTAAGTGCGATAGGCGTGTGGCTCCGTGTTTGCACCATAGGCCATGATCGAACCCCGGAATGAGGAGTTGGAATGCTGGGATTTGTAGTGCTGGGGATATGTATGAGGTGGGATAGTGTTTCTTGGTGTACTTGTCCCATAGGAGGAGTGTGGCCCTCGTGGTTGGGCACATGTCTGGGTATTTTGGTCTCAGATGCCTAGGTATCCAAGCAAGGGTGGGCATCGAGAGTCCGCCCGTGTTTGCGGTTTCTATGTGACTCCACTTTGGTGGTATTGTGTGATGGAAGGAGGATACGAGTGTGCTCATCATGGCAGCTGTGTAATAGTTTGCGATCTCAGGGGCCCCCATTCCTCCCTCCTTGAATGGCCTATACATAGTGTCGGCCGCTGTTCGAGGTCGTTTCCCATCCCATATGAATTGATTCAGAGAGTGCTGTGCGTCTTTAAGGAATTGGCGTGGTAGCTGTATTTGGAGTGTTCTAAATAAGTACTGTAGTCGTGGTAGTACCATCATTTTAACTGCCGCTATTCTGCCTGGCCATGAGATGTATTTCCCTTTCCAGCTATGTAATTGTTGTTTGATTGCGCTAAGGAGTTTTAAATAGTTCGCTTTATACAGCTTTCGCGTCTTGGGTGTGAGATCTATACCTAGGAAGGTCAAATGGTCAGTTCGCCAGTCATATGTGTATGTGCTTTGTAGGTGGGTAAGTTGTTCTTTAGGGATATTGAGGCCCATAGCTTGTGTCTTGGTGACATTGAGCTTGTAGTATGAGCAGTTGCTAAATTTTGTTAGTATGGTTCGAAGCCGTGGTAGAGAAATGTCAGGTTTGGACAGTGTGAGCATTACATCGTCAGCAAATAGGGTAATTTTGTGTGTTTCTCCCCCTATTTGTATTCCATGGACCTCATGTGACTCCCTAACGTGTTGAGCCAGGGGTTCTAGTGCTAGTATATATAGTAAGGGTGAGAGTGGGCAGCCCTGTCTGGACCCATTGGAGATGTGGAAGGGTTTGGAGGTAAACCCGCCGTTGGCTATTTTTGCTGTCGGGTTGTCATATAGTGCCGAGACTAGTGTGATGAAGCACTCGGGAAATGCGAGTTTCCTTAGCACAGCCTCCAGATATCCCCAGTGCAGCCTGTCAAACGCCTTCTCAGCGTCTAGTGACAGTGCCACACTGGGGGTCCCGGTTTCCTGGATCTTGTGCAGAATGTTGATCAGTTTCCTGGTTCCGTCTGAGCCTTGCCTACCCCGGACGAACCCCACTTGATCGTCTCGAATCAGGGACGGTAGTATGTTTCCTAGCCTATTTGCGTAAATTTTCGCTAATATTTTTAAATCAGTGTTTAGTAGCGATATAGGACGCAGGTTCTGGCATTTGGTTGGAGGCTTCCCTGGTTTTGGCAGTGTGGTTATGTGGGCTAGCAGCATTTCCCCTGGTATAGAGCCTGTCGTGAGAATATTGTTGTACAGTTTTTCCAATTTGGGGGTGAGACTGTGGGAGAAAATTTTATAGTATAAGTTCGTGAAGCCGTCTGGGCCTGGTGACTTCCCCTTTGGGAGGGCTTTAATAATGCTTGCAATTTCAGTTTGGGTAACGGGAGCTTCCAATAGAGTCTGGTCTGCCTCCGATAGTTTCGGCAGCTGTACTTCCACTAGAAATGCGTCTATCTCCTTTGGGAGTGGCTGGTGTGTCTGCTGATCCCTTTTCAGGTTATATAGTGTATCATAGTAGTCCGCTAACGCGTTGTTTATATCGTGTGGGCTATACATTTTGTTGCCTATAGCGTTCAATAGAAATGGGATTTTTGAATTTTGCCGTTTCTGTCGCAGAAGTGCTGCCAGTGTCTTCCCTGCCTTGTTTCCCTGGGTGTATGTTTTGAGTTTCAATTTATGTGATATGGTAGCTGTGGTGCGCAGGTGTATGTCATTTAGTTTCCCTTGAAGCTGGGCTATGCGCTGCTGTGTGGAGGGGGATGGGTGCATAATATGCGCCGATGTTTCGTCCCTAAGTGACCTCAAGAGGTCTATATACTCTTTCTTTGCTTGCTTGTTCAGGTGGGATGCCTGGCTAATCAGGAGGCCCCGTATGACTGCTTTATGTGTTTGCCATGTTGTGGCTAGTGAGACCTCGGGTGTTTCGTTTAAGGTAAAGAACGAAAGTATCTCTTCGTTAAGTTTGGTTTTAAATTCTTGGTTATGGAGGAGAGTGTCGTTTAGGCGCCAGAGTGTCGCCCCTCTGGTCTGAAATTCGTCCCTCAGGGTAAGTTGTACTGGTGCGTGGTCTGACCAGATTATGTTCCCTATCTCACTATGCGTTGCCATTGGTAACATGTCGCCCGAAATTAGAATAAAGTCAATTCTTGTGTATGTTTTATGTACTGGTGAGTAAAATGTGAATTCCCGTTCATTCGGATGCTGTGTCCTCCAAATATCGTAAAGCCCGTGTTCGGAGAGGAGCTTCGTGAGTGCTATGGCCTGTTTTCCCTGTATTTTGCTCCTGGGTGTTGTTTCCGACAGTGTAGTGTCTAATCGGGGTTGCATGATGTGATTTAAGTCTCCGCATATGATTGTGGATGATTGGTACGTGTTAGGTAGTTTATTTAGTACTTTCTGTAGGAAGTTTCTTTGGTTACTGTTTGGTCCGTATAGTCCCACTATTGTGTGTAGGGTGTCATTGATTTTACCGTGTAGTATAAGATACCTGCCTTGTGTGTCTTTTTTGAGTCGGAGAAGTTCGAATGCTATTGAGGTGTGTATGAAGAGGGAGACCTCCCTCGATTTAGAGGAGTATGTCGAGTGGTATTGTGTGGGGTATTCTCTGTCTGCAAATCTGGGCACTCTGTTGTGTACAAAGTGAGTTTCTTGGACACATAAGATATCTGCTTTAGCACGCTTCGCGTCCTCAATGCAGAGTCTCCTTTTGTGTGGGGTGTTCAGTCCACGTGCATTAATAGTTTGTATTCTCATACTATGGGAGGGTTATATAGTGTAGCTGTCTAGGTCTCGCTTGTCCTTGTCTGATGATGCCCCCGCATTGGGAATGGGGATATTGTGTGGCTGTGTTGCCTGTTGGTTCTAGGATAGCATTGGTGTGTCGTTGCATAATGTGCACCATTAGGTAGTGGTATGGATTTGGATATGTGTTAGTTCCCTTTGTGGGTAGTGGCCGACCTTGGGGATGTGGGATTAGGGGAGGAGAACTAGGGGAAGGTATAAAAACTATGTACAGAGTATTCCTTTCAAGGAATTTATGTGGATGGTCCACATCTGGGGGGTAAGAAAGAAAGGATCTTTCCATTAACGTGGCTATTTGGGCACCCTTGTGGCTCGTGTTTGTGGCTGCTTCTATTATGCGGTTGGGCCAATCAGTGCCTATGGACCGATCAGGGCCCCTGGATGTGATCCCGGTAAGAGCGTGACAGGCTGAGAGAGGCCGGGGCCAGACGTCTTCGTCCGAATTAGAGTGTACATTGGCGTGCCATCCGTTGGGGTGGTCTGGCTATATGTGCTGAGGACCTGTCGTGAACGCTAACGTTGACTCAAAGGGGCCCTATGTACATGTATGTTAACGGTCAACTATAGCTCATGCATTCTAAGTAAAAACATAACCTGCAGTAACTTTTTTACCTTGCTAACCGTCCCGCCTCTCGGCCCGTCTCCCGCCCCTCCCGCCCCAACGGCCAAGAAACTTCCCCGGAATCTTCCCATCCCCCACCCGGGCCCCAGTGTCCCATTGTCCCATTAGACCTGTTGGTAGGAGCGTATAACGCTGTAGTTCTGCAGCTTGTCTCAGCAGCTCCAAAGTCTCATGGTCCATCTGGTTGTGGTGTCATGCCTTCCATCTCCCGGGTAAACCGTCTGACCTCACCTAAGTTGGAGGCTGCCCCGGTCATTGCTCACCCGGACCCGGGGGGGAAGTGGAGGCGAGATGGGGGGTAGAGGGGGGGAGGAAAGCCCATCACCTCAGGGTATTAGTCCAGACCGGGGACCCCCGCAGGAATCCACTGCTCTGCGCACGCTTCGTCACAGGGTCAGCGGGAGGCCCCGATCCAGAGTCACTTATCCAGTTACCCAGGGTCCTCAGTTACCGGTTCTTGTCCAGCTTTGTTGTGCGTTCCGTGGTCGCCATATTAAAAGGAGGCACTTCAGGTGCGTATCCAGGACATTATATGGCAATGTATATCCAAAGGGGCTTTCGCCTGCGTACCAGATACCGTCTGGTTTCAGTGTTTCCCGTGGGCTTTTCCCCAGTCCGGTTTGAGAGTGCCCGCCTTTCTTGTTTGCAGGATAGGCGGCTCCACCGGCAGGTTCCAGGCCTGGAGTTTCTTCAGGCCGTCGTCAGGGGAGTTTATCACTACCGTGTCTCCATTTTGCGTAACGATCAACTTTGTGGGGAATCCCCACCTATACCTTATGCCGTGGGACCTCAACGTGCTGGTAACTTGGAGGAAGTCTTTTCTTTTTCGTAGTGTTGCGGCTGACAGATCCGCATAGATTTTGACCGTTGGGTAGTCGGCCGGCGGCTTAGCTCTCAGCCTGCTGCTCCGGAGGATGTGTTCCTTTATGTGGAAATAGTGCGCCCGCAATAATATGTCCCGCGGTACTGTTTGTGGGAGATGACGGGGTTTCGGAATGCGGTGAGCCCGATCTACCAGCAGCATATCTGTAGGTATCTCCTGTGCATGGGCGTGCAGGAGGTTCCTGACATAAGCTGGCAGGTCGTCGTTAGTGACATCCTCAGGGACTCCCCGCAAGCGTAGATTATTCCGACGGGACCGGTCCTCCATGTCCGCCATTTTTTCTTCCATAATAGTGAGCTTTGCTGCTATGCGCTCCACGTTCGTGGCCAGATCGTTGTGCGCCGTGGCGAATTCATCGCACTTATCCTCCATGTGCGTCGTCCTTTTCCCCAGCTCCTGGATGTCCTTCCGTAAGGAGTCCGCTGTATGTTGCCATGTGGTGATTAGTTTAGCAGATAAGACCTCCAGAGCTGCTGTGAGGTCGGCTTTGGTAATCTGTGTTGTGTCAGCTTTTGCCTCCGAGTCGGTATCATGCATGCCTTCGTCCGATTCAGGATCCTCGGTTGCTTTTGAGGCCTGCGTAGCCAGGGCCGCAGGAGTTTGTTTCTGGCTAAAAAAATTAAGCTTATCCGGCTTTACCGAGCTCCTTTTACTTTTGTGGTGGGACATTGCTGGTCTGTGTTGTTGGATGCAGCTTTAGGCGGTTAGATTACGCTGGATTGGGTGCCCTGTTGCCGGAGCAAGTTTTCATGCTGCCATCTTGCTCCGTGGTTAGCCACGCCCCCTGCTTCTGCCATCTTTAAGATCCTCTTGTATATCCTCAATCCATAATTTGAAAGCCTGAGAAAATAATAAAGGGCTATGGCAGGGTGAAGCCTGGTACCAGCTGCCACATGGGCCTTGGTCAGGTTTAAGTCCATTCTGTGGTCCATTGGATTTCTCAAGGAACCAGCATTAATGCCTGGTAAAAAAAAAAAAAAAAAAGTAAGCTTTGCCAGTCTAACTACAACTGTATCTACTTTAATTGCAGAATCCTAGTTAGTGGCATCTGAGGTATGAAAAGGGTATAAGCGGGATAACCCGCATTAAGGGGAAGCTTCTTATCAGTCTATTCATCCAGAATAAGATATTTAGAAGTTTCATGAACTGGAAAGGTAGGTTTTTTTCCTTCTGAGGTCTGAGAAGAAGTTGCTAGATGAAGGATCGTCTGTGACTGGTTCCTTTAAATTCAAAGATCTTCGAACCTTGGAGATGAGATGAACCACGCTGGCTGAGTCTAGTGTATCGGGAAAGTGCTGTAATTGTTCCTCAGAACAAAAGGCCTCATGCAAGGTTTCTATTTTCATATGAGACATAGAGGATCCTCTTTGGACCAAGCTGGTTCTTGATATCTAGGCCTTTTGCGTGACTGACTGGCCTCTTTAATACTCTGGAATACCTTTTGCTTGATGAAGTCCATGATGTCAGGACAAGGATAGGAAGGGCCTAATGCTGCCTTCAGGCAGGCTGCGCAAAGGCACTTCCCTTCTAAAGCTTTAGAGTTGCACGCCTCACATGAATGCTTCCTGGAATACTTCCTTTTTGAAGCTCTTGACTTCTTCCCCGTTGAACTGTAACGAAAGGGAATATAAGTAATCTGCTCTCTTTTGTTTATAGACAAGCCTACTGGACAAGAAATTAGTTAAAAAGACACTATAGTCACCAGAACAACTATAGCTTATTGTATTTGTTCTGGTGAGTATAATCATTCCCTTCAGGCTTTTTGACGTTTTACATTACAGCCTAGGGAAACCTCCACTGGCCACTCCTCATATGGTTTCTAGTGATGCTTCTTGGGGCAGCGGCAATGAAAGTAGGCAAATTGAGAGAAATGTCAATACATAATATTAGAAAAAGTTAGTCAACCTAAAAGACATTCAGTTGAGTACAGGACATATGATATTAATTATAAAAATGAACATCCAAACTAAAAGCCAAACCTTCTATAGGTCTATTGTAAACTTAAATACAATAAATTGTCCCACCAATCACAGAAGGGTAACTCTACCTTTTTCTCCTTCTGGGGAGAGAATGGGGTGGCCTAAAGTATGAAAAAGATGGCGGTAGAGAACTCAGGAGGGTCGCTTGTCCTGTAAGGAATAAAGAATGTCTGTTTAAAGACCTATTACTTTGAGTTTGATAGCAGTACACCTTTGTTACACTTTGATGCAGTTAATGTACACACGTATGCATACAGGTTCATGCATCTGCGTGAGTACCAGCCTCTTCTGGATCTCAGTGCTCCTTTCTATAGTAGTCATGCTATTTCATTTCACATTTTTACATGGAATCATTTGCTGAAATAATATTGCAAAGACAACTTTAGTCAACAATTAGGACATCTGTAAAAAAGGACAGATCCTGAGCACGTACCCTTTGCACTGTGGTCCTGAGAAGGTGTGTGAAGAGAGCAGGAGTAGGATAATCCTGGGGTGAACACCAGGTTCTAATCATCAATGAGGAACAGTTTAATGTCTGTAGCTATTCCGATAGATTCATATTCTAGTTCCCAGGATTGCGAAAGCAGGCTAGCCAAAACCAATAGTTTCATATCTGCAATAATAAACCAGAGGTGAGTCCACAAGCTTTTGTTTTTTTTCAAAAAGGGGAAATACAGTAGTTACACAATTTATGTAAGCATTATGAAAAAAACTATCTTCTGAGATTTATGTTGACTGCACCTGAATTACATATTTAAATGCACAATGATATTTAATACTTAAAGGGGAACTCCCATTTCTGTCTTAAATGGAGAATAGTGCTAAAGAAGAGAGAGAATACTGTGCATGTTAATTTATTTCTGGTTTCTGTTACTTTTCAAGTGTAGTATCACTCTATTGGCACTTTCATACTTAGACACTTAGGGGAGGGGACGGACAAAATTGCACAACATTACAAGTATGTAAATGCAGTGCATTCAGAAAGTATTAACATTTTTGATGTTGCAGTCTTATGCTGCAAGTGTTTAATTTGAAGGAACACTATTGGATCAGGAACACAAACATGTATTCCTGACTCTATAATGTTAAAATCACTATGTTGCCCCCACTATGTTTACTTTTCACAAGAAGCATTGCCTGATGTGAATGATGCCTCGCAAAAGAGCTCTAAGAAGACCTACGACTAAGAATTATTGACTTGCATAAAGCTGGAAAGGGTTATAAAAGTATCTCCAAAAGCCTTGCTGTTCATCAGTCCACGGTAAGACAAATTGTCTATAAATGGAGAAAGTTCAGCACTGCTTATACTCTCCCTAGGAGTGGTCGTCCTGTAAAGATGACTGCAAGAGCACAGCGCAGACTGCTCAATGAGGTGAAGAAGAATCCTAGAGTGTCAGCTAAAGACTTACAAAAGTCACTGGCAAATGCTAACATCCCTGTTAGCGAATCTACAATACGTAAAACACTAAACAAGAATGGATTTCATGGAAGGATACCACAGAGGAAGCCACTGCTGTCCAAACAAAACATTACTGCACATTTGCAGTTTGCACAAGAGTTCCACAGCAGTACTGGCAAAATATTCTGTGGACAGATGAAACCAAAGCTGAGTTGTTTGGAAGAAACACACAACACTATGTGTGGCGAAAAAAAGGCACAGCACACCAACATCAAAACCTCATCCCAACTGTGAAATATGATGGTGGGGGCATCATGGTTTGGGGCTGCTTTGCTGCGTCAGGGCCTGGACGGATTGCTATCATCGAAAGAAAAATGAATTCCCAAGTTTATCAAGACATTTTGCAGGAGAACTTAAGGCCATTTATCTACTAGCTGAAGCTCAACAGGACAATGACCTAAAGCATAGAAGTAAATCAACAACAGAATGGCTTGAACAGAAGAAAATACACCTTCTGAAGTGGCCCAGTCAGAGTCCTGACCTCAACCCAATTGAGATGCTGTGGCATGACCTCAAGAAAGCGATTCACACCAGACATCCCAAGAATATTGCTGAACTGAAACAGTTCTGTAAAGAGGAATGGTCAAGAATTACTCCTGACCGTTGTGCACGTCTGATCTGCAACTACAGGAAACGTTTGGTTGAAGTTATTGCTGCCAAAGGAGGTTCAACCAGTTATTAAATCCAAGGGTTCACATACTTTTTCCACCTGCACTGTGAATGTTTACATGGTGTGTTCAATAAAAACATGGCAACATTTCATTCTTTGTGTGTTATTAGTTTAAGCAGACTGTGATTGTCTATTGTTGTGACTTAGATGATGATCAGATCACAATTTATGACCAATTTGTGCAGAAATCCATATCATTCCAAAGGGTTCACATACTTTTTCTTGCAACTGTATGTAATTAGCTTTAGCTGTTCTGCTGACTATAGTGCCCCTTTATTTTTATTTCACCTCAATCTAGACTCAATATCCTTATATGACAAAGACAAAACAGAATTCTGAAAACTTTGTATTTTTGCACGCGCCTCTCTTGATATGGTGTCACAGCTGTATATACATATCAGAGCAAAAACCAAGCCATGAGGTCTAAGGAACTCCCTGCAGAGGTTAGAGGCAGGGTTGTGTCAAAGCACAGCTTCAACTAAATTAATAAACCTAGTGATTATGGACATCCATTGCTGCCCATTTACTACAAAAGTCCATTGTGATGGGGACTGTGAGATAACAGGGGGAGGGGGATGCTGTCCCACTTGTTGGCATTGGGTGGGGGCTACTTAAAATATTTTAATATTGTCCCTTCACCTGTCCCCACCTATGGGCAAAGTGTAGAGGCCCTAATTAGTTAAATGGGCATTATTTTTATTTTATTAGTGGTGTCGGTTATTTTGGATTTTTATTTAGTGAATGATAGCAAGTGAATGTAGATCCTGCATTCGGTTTATCATCGGATTATTAGTTATTTTCAGAACACATCCAAACTAATCTTCCAGAATCGGTCAGAGTGACTGAATCCTGATTACATCTGGGTTTAGTAAATCTGGAAATTGCCAATGCGGTCAGAATTTGGTCATTTTCACTGGTCCATTTTTTAACTACACTACAACTGTATCTACAACACTGCAACACTACACCAATCTGGCTTTTATGGCACACTGGCCAGACAGTAGCCTTTTTTTCCACCTTAAACACTCAGACTGAGAGAAACAAGATTCTGTGGTTTGATGAAATGAAGATTCAACTGTCTGGTGTTAATTCAAAGCATCATGTCTGGAGGAAACCGGGCACCGCTCACAACTTGGTGGTGATGGTATCATGCTTTGGGGGGTATTTTTCAGGTCAGGAAAACAGGTCAGGGTTGAGGGAAAGCTGAATGCAGCAACATACAGAAATATCCTTAACAAAAACCTGGTCCATGGCGCACAGGACCAGACCAGAGGGTCACCTTCCAACAAGACAATGATCCTAAGCACAGAGCCAAGACAATACCAATGTAGCATTGGGTCAACTCTCTGAATATCCTTGAGTGGCCCATCTACAGACCTTATTTCAACCAAATAGAAAATGTCTGGAGAAACCTTATAATGACTGTCCGAAGGTAACCATCCCACCTGACAGAGCTTGAGAGGATCTGTAGAGATAAATTGCAGAAACGACCCAAATCCAAGTGTGCTTTTTTAGGTAAGTGACTGAATATTTATGTCAATGTGATATTTTTTTCTCTTTATTATATTTGTAATGGTGTAAAAAAAAACCTTTAGATTTATGTGATTTTTTTAAAGGAGCACTATAGGAATACATGTTTGTGTTCCTGACCCTATAGGGTTAAAACCAACATCTAGCCACCCTGGTCCCTCATGCCTCCCTAAATCTAGTAAAATCTTACTTGTATTCAAGTCTGGAGCTGCTTACTTGGTCCCTGTTTCCTTTAGACCTGCCTGCTGACATCATCAGAAGTGATAGCCAATCCTATGGGGAAGCATTGTGATTGGATCAGGCTGAGACTGACAAAGGGGCAGAGCCAGCACAATTCAAACACAGCCTGGGCCAATCAGCATCTCCTCTGCATCTCTATGAGGAAAGTTCAGTGTCTGCATGCAGAGGGAGGAGATACTGAATGTTTTGTTGCATTTTAGGCAGCAATGACCCAGAAAGGATCTCTAACAGCCTTTTGAGGAGTGGCCAGTGAAGTTATCACTAGGCTGTAATGTAAACACTGCATTTTCTCTGAAAAGAAAGTGTTTACAGTAAAAAGACTGAAGGTAATGATTCTACTCACCAGAACCAAATTCAATAAGCTGTAGTTGTTCTGGTAACTGTAGTGTCCCTTTAAACTGTAGAATTAGGGTGCACCATAAAAAAACTATTAAATAAATGAAGGGGTCTAAATACGTTCTGAAGTTGAACAGAGGCCTCAATCATAATCTATCAATTAGACACATGTTAACGATTGCCTTAGCAATAGTATCTTCAATTCAGCAAAAAAAAAAACCCCCAATACTTTATATTAAGCAATAAGCAGTCAAGCATAAGCGATCGCAAACACTCTGGATAAGATTTAATGATTAAATGAAACACTTAAAAAAACATTATTCTCTATTCAAATTCAGCATGCAGTACTGCACTTTCAAAAAATAAAAAAATAACAAACCATAAAAAAATGTTAAATAAATTAAAGGGTCTGAATCCATTCTGAATTAATTTTAAGTTGAACAGAGGCCTCAATCAGAATCTATCAATTAGACACATGTTAACGACTATATAAAGAAAGTGTTCTGTGTACAAGAGGCGCTTAGTGAGTTAACAGAATAACTGTAGGTGGGTAAACAGCAGCTCTACACACGTGTAAATGCCCCCAAAATTACACACAAAAAGTATTGATGAACAGGTGACCCAGGTGGAACAAACCACCAAAAGAGTACACTTAGTGGAGCGCTATAATACAAGTGGACTTACCCCTATACAGTATGGGGAAGTATATTAATACACAATTTCCTACAAGGGAAAAATATAAATGCAATAGTGAAGTATATCGAGCCCAACGGGGTGATGTAAAAGAATGTATGGACCACACTCACATGGTCCAGAGCCACATATGGATAGACTCAGATCACTTGCACAGAGGTATATTGGGTAATACCAAAACTTCTCTGGATCCTTGGTAAGATATTTCTCAAAATGGGAAGACAAAAGAGAGGGACAAGAACTTCTGGTGCAGAATTTGACAAGTCCCAAGTGAACTATTCAAAATTCTACAACATGATGCTGTGAAAGTTCTGCTTGCCTTATGCCAACAAACAGGTCAGTCTACTTCCCAAGCCCAAAAAAAGCAATGCCAAAGAGTGCCCCAATTATCGAACAATTGCACTAATTTCACATGCCAGCAAGGTAATACTTAAGATCCTACAAGCGCGACTCAAACAATACAGGGAGTGCAGAATTATTAGGCAAATGAGTATTTTGACCACATCATCCTCTTTATGCATGTTGTCTTACTCCAAGCTGTATAGGCTCGAAAGCCTACTACCAATTAAGCATATTAGGTGATGTGCATCTCTGTAATGAGAAGGGGTGTGGTCTAATGACATCAACACCCTATATCAGGTGTGCATAATTATTAGGCAACTTCCTTTCCTTTGGCAAAATGGGTCAAAAGAAGGACTTGACAGGCTCAGAAAAGTCAAAAATAGTGAGATATCTTGCAGAGGGATGCAGCACTCTTAAAATTGCAAAGCTTCTGAAGCGTGATCATCGAACAATCAAGCGTTTCATTCAAAATAGTCAACAGGGTCGCAAGAAGCGTGTGGAAAAACCAAGGCGCAAAATAACTGCCCATGAACTGAGAAAAGTCAAGCGTGCAGCTGCCACGATGCCACTTGCCACCAGTTTGGCCATATTTCAGAGCTGCAACATCACTGGAGTGCCCAAAAGCACAAGGTGTGCAATACTCAGAGACATGGCCAAGGTAAGAAAGGCTGAAAGACGACCACCACTGAACAAGACACACAAGCTGAAACGTCAAGACTGGGCCAAGAAATATCTCAAGACTGATTTTTCTAAGGTTTTATGGACTGATGAAATGAGAGTGAGTCTTGATGGGCCAGATGGATGGGCCCGTGGCTGGATTGGTAAAGGGCAGAGAGCTCCAGTCCGACTCAGACGCCAGCAAGGTGGAGGTGGAGTACTGGTTTGGGCTGGTATCATCAAAGATGAGCTTGTGGGGCCTTTTCGGGTTGAGGATGGAGTCAAGCTCAACTCCCAGTCCTACTGCCAGTTCCTGGAAGACACCTTCTTCAAGCAGTGGTACAGGAAGAAGTCTGCATCCTTCAAGAAAACATGATTTTCATGCAGGACAATGCTCCATCACACGCGTCCAAGTACTCCACAGCGTGGCTGGCAAGAAAGGGTATAAAAGAAGAAAATCTAATGACATGGCCTCCTTGTTCACCTGATCTGAACCCCATTGAGAACCTGTTGTCCATCATCAAATGTGAGATTTACAAGGAGGGAAAACAGTACACCTCTCTGAACAGTGTCTGGGAGGCTGTGGTTGCTGCTGCACGCAATGTTGATGGTGAACAGATCAAAACACTGACAGAATCCATGGATGGCAGGCTTTTGAGTGTCCTTGCAAAGAAAGGTGGCTATATTGGTCACTGATTTGTTTTGTTTTGTTTTTGAATGTCAGAAATGTATATTTGTGAATGTTGAGATGTTATATTGGTTTCACTGGTAATAATAAATAATTGAAATGGGTATATATTTGTTTTTTGTTAAGTTGCCTAATAATTATGCACAGTAATAGTCACCTGCACACACAGATATCCCCCTAACATAGCTATAACTAAAAACAAACTAAAAACTACTTCCAAAAATATTCAGCTTTGATATTAATGAGTTTTTTGGGTTCATTGAGAACATGGTTGTTGTTCAATAATAAAATTAATCCTCAAAAATACAACTTGCCTAATAATTCTGCACTCCCTGTATATGGACTGGGAATTACCAGATGTACAAGCTGGGTCCCGCAGAGGATGAGGCACAAGAGATCAAATTGCCAATGTACGATAAATAATAGAGAAAGCTAGAGAGTTCAAGAAAAACATCTACTTCTGCTTTATAAACTATTCTAAAGCCTTTGACTGTGTGGATCACAACAACATGTGGCAAGTTCTTAAAGAGATGGGAGTACCAGATCATTTCATCCGCCTCCTGAGGAATCTGTATGTGGACCAAGAAGCCACAGTCAGAACCGAACATGGGATAACAGAATGGTTCAAGATCGGGAAAGGAGTGCGACAAGGCTGTATATTGTCACCTTATTTATTCAACTTATATGCGGAATACATAATGCGTAAGGCTTGGCTGGATGAATCCAAAGCCGGAATCAATATTGCTCGAAGAAATATCAACAACCTCAGATACGCGGATGAAACTACTCTGATGGATAAAAGTCAGGAAGAACTAGAGGACCTATTGATGAGGGTAAAAAAAAAGCTCAACGTTAAAAAGATCATGGCAAACAGCAATCTCAGTTTCTGACAAATAAATGGTGGTGAAGTGGAGGCAGTGACAGATTTTAATTTTCGGGGATCCAAGATCTCTTCAGATGGTGACTGTAGTCATATAATTTAAAGATGTTTGCTTCTGGGGAGGAAAGCTATGGCAATCTTGGACAAGCTTGTAAATACTAAAGATATCACACTATCAACTAAGGTCTGCATAGTCAGAACTATGGTATTCCCAGTAGTAACCTACGGATGCGAGAGTTGGACTATAAAGAAGAGTGAGTGTCTTAGAATTGATGCCTTTGAACTGTGGTGTTAGCGAAAACTACTTAGAATCCCTTGGATTGCAAGAAGATCCAATAAATCCGTACTACATGAAATCAAGAAACACTGTTCACGGAAAGCTATGATCATGAGGCTGAAGCTCAAATATTTTGGCCATATAATGAGAAGGCAGGATTCTCTAGCGAAGACTCTGATGCTGGGAAAGATTGAAGGCACACGAAGAAGGGGACGACAGAGACGGAGATGGATAGATGAGGTCACTGAAGCCACGAACATGAAGTTATATGAACTCAGAGGGACAGTGACTGACAGATGTACCTGATGGGCTATGGTCCATATGGTCACGGAGAATCCATGGATCAGTTAGTCTGGTCCTTACCCCCCCACAATAAAAGGTAGGAAGAATCCAAAACTGCTAAGATGTATAATCTAGTAGGGGTTCTATACCTTGTACAGTGAGGAACCGATACACATTTTAAGAAAGTAAAATAGAAGAATAAGAAAATAAAAATAGAGATCAGATTAAAATACTTCTTTCCCACAAAGGGTTACAATTCTTCTGTCAGTTATATAGTGCAGCAGACAGTGTACCGATAAGAATATTTATTAGTACAAATTAAAACGGTCAACATAGCACACATTTATATAAAAGACTAGTAAAAAAGCAGTAGTCCCAATAAAGTAAGCAAAAGATATCAGGTTAACAGACCGGGTGTCCAGGGATGTTAATGTCACTCTCTTGCTGGCCAGATAGGAGTGCATCCTGACCTCGTCATGCTGGTATAACACTAGATATCAGCCGCGTGCATTCCACTGCGGCTCTGGATACGTTCCAGTATGCTGACTCAGGAACTGATTGCAAGATGCCACCTAACGCGTTTCGTGATCAACCTTAATCAGAGGTTGGCATCGGTGATTCTTCATTCTATTTTATACTCTTCGGTCTGCTGGACTTGTCAGAAATTAATCCCTTGTCTACTAATACATCAATCTCCTATTTGTAATGCAAATTCTACAATATTGGATTCTTATAAACCCACTAATGTATGTGAAACAGGCTTGCAAATAAACATACAAAATTACAAATGTAATATACTGTCTTGCATAATCAAAATACAATCAAAAATTGATTGTTAAAAGTTATGAATGCTCACAGTACAAATATTGAAAATAAAATAAAAACTACAAATATGGATGAGAACATTCTACACCGCATCACCATGTGTACTTATAAAATTACAAAGGGCTATATACTATGCTGAATTAATAACTCATATGTCGGAATTTTAACCGATCGGACCGCAAAGGATTATAATGGAAATAAAGAATCCAAATACAGATAGGCACATTCTATACCGAATGTGTATTTATAAACTTAAAAAAGCTATATTTTACACTGGATTGATAACTAGTATGTCGGAATTCTAACCAATCGGACTGCAAAGCATAATACAGAATCCTCACATCAGAAGAGTATACCAACAGTACAGATGAAAAACTGAATTAAAAACCCCTAATTCATCGTAATTAATATTATACTTGAATTGATGCTGGGATAATCTGTAACATAGAAATATATTTGTTAACCCCTTAAGGACGGGTGACGGACGAGGTCCGTCACAGAGGGGAGACCCTTAACGACGGGTGACGGACCTTGTCCGTCACGCGGTAAAATTAACCCCGGATCGCCGCGATCGCGGGGTTAATGGTGCTCCGGTATGCCTCTGCATTAGAGGCATACCAGGAGCACCCGGTCAGGCTGCCCAGCACATGTGCTCGCTCTGACCACAAGTCAGAGCGAGCACATGTGCTCTGTATACTCACCTACCGGCTCCCTGCACTTCCGGGTTCTGTGTGAAGTGCAGGGAGCCGGAACAGTGCTGATCCTGCCCCCTGCTGTTAAAAAAATTAAGTTTATTTAAAGTCCCCCCCCCCTTACCCATTTTAATAAAAAATTTACCCCTTCCCTGCCAATTGATCACTGACTACAGTGATCAATTGGCAGGGATTACATTTTACTATGATCTGATTTTTTTTTTTAACCCCTGAGGGTTAATTCTTTTTTTTTTAACCCTCAGGGGTTAAATTAATTAAATTAATTAATTAAATTATTTTTAAATGATATATTTAGCTAGCTGGGGTGGGTGGAAGTTAGTGGGGAATTGGGGGATTTGGCGTTAGGCTAACTAGGGGTTAACGTTAAAAAAAGTTTTAAAAGAAACTTTAAAAAGTTAAAAATTAAGCTTAAAAAATGTTTTAATAACATTTAAGTAAAAAAAAAAAAAAAAACACACTTTACCTAGTCCAAATAAAAATTAACCCCTTCCCTGCCAGTCGATCACTGCCTACAGCGATCAAATAGAGATCACAGTATTATACTGTGATCTAATTTTTTTTAACCCCTGAGGATTAACTTTTATTTATTTTTTTAACCCTCAGGGGTTCAATTTAATTAATTAATTTAAATATTTTATAACTATATATTTTGCTAGCTGGGGTGGGTGGGAGTTATGGGAAAATGGGGAATTTACTGTTAGTGCTGCGTACTGCTAGTTAGGGGTTAACGGTAAAAAAAAAAGCTTAGAAAAATGTTAAATCTGTAAAAAAGTTTTAAGAAAGTTTAGGAAAGTTTAAAAAAAATTTATAAGCAAAACAAAAGTTTAAAAACTAGTTTTTAAAAGTAAAAAGTTATAAAAAGTAAAAAAATACATTTTAAAAACGCTCATTACCACTACACCTGGAACAAACTAGAGAAAAAATTATCCCACGCCAAGGTTCAAAATATGCCTTTTGAATTACCCCAGGGTGTATTCTTTAATAAATAGTATGTGTTTGTGGGGAAGTTTCAATAACCAACCATCTAAACTACTCCAAATTGGAACATGGACACAGCGTAAAACTTCAAAGTTAGAAAAAAACTGAATGGCTGCGTCTCAAATGCGCCCCTTCAACATCCACATATACCTGGCAAAGGTACATACGGGGGTATTGCTGTACTCAGCCGACATAGCTGAGCAACATATGAAGTATTATACAGTCATAGCACACATAAGGTTTGCAAAATATGCTGCGCAAACTCACTTTGTATGTCAAAAAGGCAGAAAAAATGCTTATTACCACTACACTTGGTACAAGCTAGCGGAAAAATGATCCCACGCTAAGGTTCAAAATATGCCTTTTGAAATACCCTGGGATGTCTTCTTTAAGAAATGATATGGCTTTATGGGGAATTTGGATTATATAGCCTGGTAAAATACTCTAAAATGGGACATAGGCACAGCATAAAAATTCAAAGTTTGAAAAAAACTGGAATGGCTGTGTCCCAAATGTGCCCCTCCGATGTCCACACATACCTGGCAAAGGTACATACGGGGGTATTGCTATACTCAGCCGACATAGCTGAGCAACATATGGAGTATTATACAGTCGTAGCACACATAAGGTTTGCAAAATATACTGTGCAAACTCACTTTGTATGTCAAAAAGGCAGAAAAAACGCTTATTACCACTACATCTGGTACAAGCTAGCGGAAAAATGATCCCACGCTAAGGTTCAAACTATACCTTTTGAAACACCCTGGGGTGTCTACTTTAAGAAATGGTAGGCCTTTGTGGGGTAGTTTGAATTTAAAACCTGCGAAGATGCTTGGAAATTGCACATAGGCCACAGCGTCAAAATTCAAAGTTTGGTAAAAACGGATATGGCTTGGTCTCCTATATGGCACTGTAGCTTCACAAAATAGTGACAAAGACATTCATTGGGGTGTATTTTTACTCAAAAGACTTAGCTGAGCATAATTTGGGAGGTTTGAACTTAGTGGCACATATGAAATATACAAAACGCCCAGCAAAAATGCAATCCGTATGTAAAAAATGCACAAAATAATTTTTTTACCACATACTTTGGCATATATTGGTGGTGAAAAAATGGGGGTATGTTAAGGCACAATATGCACCTTATGAGATACCCTGGAGTGTCTACTTTTACAAATGGTAGGCCTTTGTGGGGGTTTTTTGAACAGTCAAACTGTTATAATACTCCAAATGGAAGCTAAGGCTCATTAAATCCATCTCTCAAAATTCTACTGTGAATACTGAAAAGGACAGGTATCCTGTATGGCACTGTAACTTCACGAAATAGTGCAAAAGACATACAATGGGGGTGTCATTTTACTCAGCAGATGTAACTGAACACAAAATAAAACTTTGTACAGGAATAGCACACACCAACTTTACAAAATATACACGAGAATTTCTTTGTTATAAGTTTGTGTGCCAAAAACCAAAAAGAACACAATTTTACTCCAATATTTAGCAGAGGTTGGCGGTAATATGGCTACGTAGAAAGTGTCAAAACAACCTTAGGTAAATAGCCCGTGATGTCTACTTTATATAAATATATACTTTTGTGTGGCAATTTTGTTTTCTTTTATGGCTATTAAGCTTACAAGACAAACATACCAAATTCTAAAATCGCTCCACATTAAAAGTTTATTTTACTCCTTGTGCTTTGTGACCTGTAACTACCAAAAAAAACTTAAAATCCCAGACACATTATATATTCTGTAAATCAGAACAAATAAATAAATTTATTTTTAATTACTTTCCTTAACCTGCACTAATTATGCACACATTATTATTGCAAAAACTGTAAAAAAAAACAATATTTTTCATTTTTTTTGCATTTTTCTGTATTTTTTTTATAATAAGTAAGCATTTATATATATATATGTTATATAAAATTAAAGCCCTTTCTGTCCTTTAAAAAACAGTATATAATATGTGTCAGTGCAATAAATGAGAGAGATGCAAATTGCAGTTGAACGCAAACAGCAAGAAAATGCAAAAATTGCTTGTGTCATTAAGCGTAAGTCAAGCTTCTGAAGCTGTGTCCTTAAGGGGTTAATAGACGTGGTAATAATTACAGTGGTGACTCATATCAACAATCCTAATAATGAATATTAATAGAAATAGATGTAAATAGGAATAGAAGGACAGGCAGATAAACATATTCGAACACATTTAAATCGTGTTAGAGACAAATATGAATACTACACCTCATCACTAAACCTCTTGAAAAAAACACATTTAAAAGTATATTTATCATAGAGTTTAAGAATACAATGCAAATAAGTAGCTAGCAATAAAAAAATGCTAGTACATCTAAAACCGTTTAGGGACAGAAGGGGAATGTTAAAACCTAATTTCTTACATAAACCTCACTTATAAAAAGGATATCCGTCATATAGTTTAAAAATCAGTGCAAATTGATAACTGGTCATAAGGAACCGCTAGTTCATTTGATCGTGAATCACATTCTTC